CATAAAACTTTATTAATGCCACAATGGGGAAATTCCTGTGCCCCAGCAGTGGCAAAGAAAAAGACCAGCACCAAACAATAACACACAACACAAAAACTATGAAGCCTACATTTAGTATTTGAATCAAACCTGTGGAAATTGATTGAGTGAAAATTATTAATATTCTGCTGGGTAAAAGATGAATATACTTGTATGGCTGAATTTGTGCACTGAAGCTTTTCCTCTTGCTGCAGTATATTCAGGCCTTTGCTGTAATTTAAGAATCTTTGTATACAGACATAACAGATTAAATAGACTCACCATTCATAAAGTACAGCACGCAAGTATTGCTGGAGAGACATACTGTATGCAGTATGTATATGCCACTTACTCAGCTATCTAAAACTGAGTATATAGCCCACAGTCCTGAATAATAAATGGCAGCCACCACAAAAGTGGTTCTCCTGCTTTGCTGAATAAAGTATGATTGATCCGCATCTTGCCACTGGAACTATAAGAACCACTCAAACACCAACCCTATCAATTGATCTTATCCAGTAGCAGCACAGGAGGTGTAAAATAAGACTGCATATAGGTGGGCTGGTGGTGGTGGTGAGGGGGGTGGGGGTATTCTTGCTGGATAAGCACTGAGTAGCACTTATAAAGGTACAGGCCATTAAACAGTGCAGTGGATGCATTCAAAAGGAAGCTTCTTCTTGACATCATGCTGCCAAAGAGGGATAGCTTAATTAAACTTTCATCTGACCAGTATTAATGTGTGTTTAATGATCCTGAATCACTTCATTCCACATGGATTATGAATATTAATGAACAGGAGGGAGCAACAGCAGACGGATGTGTTCGCTTTAGGTTGAAGCTTAAAGGAAAGGTGGGGGTTGGTGAAGGAGAAGGATGTGCATACCAACCAGTCAGTCTTCACAGTCTCAGCAAACCCTCCAGACCAGAGGTCATAATTGGAAAGAGGTATAATATGCGTGTGTGTAGCCTCATTCACCCAGATCTGAGTAGATCAGGGGTGGCTGCTGGTGGCCTATTTCTTGGGTCCTGCCCCGTCACCTTTCACCCTCAATGGCTACCATCTTGCCCTTGAGCATTGCTCCCATTTTGTCATCTTTTTTACTTCCTCTTTTAAATAAAACAATGTGGCCAAGTGTAATGCACAAGCTTCTAAGAACCAAGTCAAAAAAAAAACAAAAAAACAGAAGTGGATGCACCCATGTTTAGGATGTTATGTGTTTTCAAGTTAAAGCGCATAATGCTGTTTCATATTTAGCTCCAAAAGTGTTTTTGTAATTGTTATTATTTATCACAATGGATATGATCAGATGATCAGATAAGAACGCAAACTGGGATGTTTGAGACAACCATACACTATGAATGCTTTAATACACACATGAGCCTTATGGTATTCAGATATTCCCATATGCCTAATGATTTCCATTGGCTTTCATTCAGAAGCTCTTTTCAGAAATTGAAAAAGTTAAAATACCACTCTATAAAAAGAGCTCCATGGACAACACTACCATCTCCCTAACAAGCCATTTAGAACCTTTTAACTTAATGAGAAACCTGAAAGTGGGCTACAGGCTAAAGAAAAACATGAAAAGAGGATATTCCTATGACAATTGAATTCAATTCCCTTCTCCACATAAGAACTTTTAAAATTCAGCAATTTTCTGTCACAGTGCGTAGAAACTAACTCACATCCCCACAGAGATGAAACCTCTGCCAGTGCAACTCTGGTTTCACCATTATCATTGAATCAATGCTGCCATCTACTGCTTCTTTCTTGGATTCTTCAGTGTAGCTCTGTATAGTGTAATGGTTATGAATAACATGTTAAATACATTTTTGAATGAGAGCTAGTTCAGTTTACAAATCAAAGCAAAATGTCTTATTTATTGGCAAAGCAAAAATACATGGCACTGTAATCAGTCAGCTTCCATAGGCAGTGGTGATGGCTATACTTGTTTAGTCTTCTATTTACATTGAGCCTTTTCCTCATTTCCACACTGTATACTTTGCCCTATGGAACAACGCTTTCACAGTGCTCTCCTGAATTCCTTCCAATACTTATAAAACAGAAGGAGGAAACACATCAGGGAGATGTATGGGGGTAATGACAGTATAGAGACCAAAATAGATTCAAGGGCTTTAGTCATCAAATAGTATACTGCGCAGGTCTGGTTTTATGAGTCAGGCTTTTTACTGCTTCCATTGCCAGCTTGCAGCATTTTAAATCATAGGCATTTTGTCGGAAGGCACCAATAGATTCAATACGTCAAATGTTAACAACTACGCACAACAGCACTGTTCCCACAAGACATGATGACAGCTAAGAGTTTGGTGTTAAATTGTAGTGTTTATTGCCATGTGAGTAATATAAGGAACAGAATCAGCGCCTTGCATGGAATAAATATGTCATAAAAAGTGCAAGGTGTAGATTCTGGTATAATAGTTATAGATCAGTCCACTCTGATCTCCCACAAGTTAAACAGCAACAGCAAAAAAAGGGCTTCAAACTGTTGCTGATATGCCATCCCCATTTCTATTGCTTAAACTTTACCAGGCCAGAATCTGTGAAGGGGTTTACCGGACATGAAGGAGAAAATCACTGCATTATAATTTGATCTAATTAATATGGAGGCCCATCTGATTAGGGTAAAAGTCAAGCCTGCCTCGGCTCATTTGATTGCCACACTCTGTTGCCAGAATCAGAGGAACTCGGTTCCAGGTGCTTGAGCTACTGACCCACTCAGAGTGAAACACAGAATAAAAGAAAACCGTTATCTGTAAGCAACAGTGAGTAAGGCAGTCAAAGAAACTGAATAAGAGAGAAGAGAAGAGAAGAGAAGAGAAGAGAAGAGAAGAGAAGAGAAGGGAAATTATTATATTATTGGGAAGGCATTGCATGTGACCTCACTAAAGGCAGACATGAAAACATACAGTACTACTACTGCTTATACTACTACTACTACTACTACTACTACTAATGTATAGCTATAGAAACTATTCAGTCAACAGAACAAGTGAAGATGTGACGTGTGCAACTACAATGCTGCCTCATAGGCATTTTGACATATAAAGCACCAGTGCAAATATAAGTTTGAGGTTGATTTGGCTGTTTCAGGGTCCTATTATGTGTCATGCTGGTTCACTGTCACACTCTAGTGACTTACTGGGACACTTGACGGAACAGAGCCACCAAGGTACAAAGCACATGTCCTTTTACTTCTACGACAAGTCAAAATATCCTCTATGAAAATTGTCTTTTGTATCCTGGCAGTGGTCTGTCTGGAAGCCCTGTGCAGTAATTATACATTCTGAATAGCTTTCCAGCTCCACCTCTGGAATCCTAATTGTATTTATGTTGTTTTGCTTACATTGAAGCTCAGAGTGAACTCACCATAAAATAAATATTACCATGTATTATATAAATATGTATACTATAGCTAGAACATATTTACATCCATTCCAGTGTTTGTTAACCAAATAAGCTATTCTAAGAGAAAGAAGATGTAGATGGGGGTTATAAAGGTGAGGGGTCAAAATAGCAGGTCATGTGACTCATGTACAGGTATGTAGTTTCAGATAGTTCCAAGCAAATGGTTCAAATACACAGCATTCTAATATGCTATACATGAATTTTCTATTATTAGATACGTTTCCTGTCTGTGGGTATAATTCCATTGGTCTGTGCAGTTAGGGACAATTTCTTTTCTCAAGTTTTATTATAGTAACAGACACATTAAGATAACATACAAAAGCTGAGTCACACCAACCTTTTTACAGCTGACCAGGATCCTTAACAACAAAAATTACATGTATTTATCTGGTAGAAAATAAGTGAGAGAATGGTCTACTTAACTAATAATTAGCATAAAGTGAATGTTTCTTGTTTGTTTCCTATATTCACATTTGCCAAAATAAACATCCAGCAATTTAAATCCAGAATACACATCTAGCAATCGATTCTATAAAGTTTTATATGTACGTATATTAACTGAATAGTTAAAGCTTTAAAATATTTTTAAAGATGAACATGTGTGCTTCACTGAGTTTTGTCTTTATATCAGTCTCTTGAATTCCATCATGCTTGTCTGTGCTGCAGGGGAGTCTCCAACACTTTGAGAGGGGTCTAGATGTTTTTGTTTCTTCAACAGTCAAATTTATATAACAGGTAAATCTGCTACTGACTGTTGTGGAAGCAAAAAAAAACAAACAACAAAACTACCTCTGCTGTTTTACCGTCTGTTATATTATATGTAAATCTGCTGCTGACTGTTTTGTTTTTTATTTTTTGCTGGGATATCTGTTGCTATTGGTCATTTGCAATACTGTCCATGTATACCTCATATGCTATTTGCACCTTATCACCAATGTCCTGGTGATGCTGAACCACCTGACAATCTCCTATTTCTGTTTGCACTACTGTCACTGACTGTACACAGTTTTGAGTCACAGCTTATTGGCTGAACCCTTTAGATTTATCATAATTACTTCAATCCAGTTCTTATTCTGTTCTATTCTATTTTTATTTTACTTTATTTTATTTTAGTTCCTAAATGTTATGGCACCCAATACTAGGTGAGAGAGAAACAGTATTTTGATTTTCTGTATGTCCTGCACATATGGTCAATTGACAATAAAAACCTTGAACCTTCACTGTTGAATATGAAAAAAGAAATGCAATACTGCAGGAGACTGCTACACAGACAGTACAACTTTTGAAATATGTTTTGTGGTCACTGTCTCTGTAAGTTAATGGCATAACTGAGAACAGACAGACAGTTATATTCCCAGTTTTAAGACTGTCTGAGTCTCATAAAGACTAGAAAACTAGAAAAATCAGTGATATTCAACATATTCAGTAATCATCCATCTATTATACAGTCTGCAAACAACCAAAATCTTCATTTACACTATTTGCATGACATTACCGCACACCGTTTTAGGTGTCGTAAAGTAGCTGCAGATCACGATTCGCGACAACGGACACTCAAGTCTAATGGGATTTCACTTTACGGTAACACAGGCCTGCAGTTTATATTTATCAAAACGCTTTTTGCTAGACTTTAGCATTCATATTGACAGGGGGGTGTCAACATTTGTTCTGACACAATGGGATTCGAAGATGAAGCGGACAGAACGCTTTTCATAAGAAATTTGGATGCAAGAGTGACGGAGGAGCTTTTGTTCGAGTTGTTTTTACAGGTGTTGTTGTCGTTAATCGTACACACAGCTAGCAGTTAGCAAATCCCAAATGCATGCATGGATAGTGTAACGAATACTAGCGATGATTGCCAGAATGAAGTTGTCCAAATTATGAAGTGTTAAAGTGCTATGCTCTTTTGTAGAAAACGTTGTTGTACGATGCGGACAATTTAAAGAGTCTCTTGGTTTGTTTATGACAGCTAGCTAGCTAACGCTAGCTTTAGCTATGATTGGTCTGGGTAACATTACGTCATTAGTGTTAATTGATTGCTTTTGCAGGCAGGACCTCTCATCAAAACTAAAATTCCAAAAGGCGTGGATGGGAGACGGAAAACATTTGGCTTTGCTGTTTACAAGCACGAAGTGTCTGCCCCATATGCCGTGGATCTACTCAACGGGACGTTGCTGTTTGGGAGAAATATTCATGTGCAGTTCCGTAGTGGTGAGTGGACGTTGTGCTTTTAACGGGTTAGCAGCTTTGACAGTTTATCATTCCCAACATTATGTAATATCAAGAACATTGTACACTGTTAGATGCGTGTTTAGACGAATGCATGTTATCTTCACATTGAGAAATCAGTAAAGTGTAGAAGCAAAGTAGTAACCTAAAATTCTATATGTTGTTTAACATTTTCAAACATTTAAATCTCACTTATTCTTCATTTAGTATTACATGCATGTTTACAGTGTGCTTATAATGAGCTGGTTTCTAGGAATAAGTAAAAAAAAAAGATGTAAGTTAAAAAAAAATGCCTAACATTTTTATAAAAATCTTTCATATAATCATTTCTAGAAAATTTGTCCCTGAAACAGACACTGGATGCTTGTTTTTTCACCACTGTCCTAATGTAACAATATGTAGTTTTTCAGACTTTATAAAGGCTATGTTAAGTTTTCCTGTGTTTGATTGCCATACCTGTACAGCATACATACACAGTGACAATTATAGTCCAACCTGAGTTGTTTTCTCATTTATAAATGTTTGGTTTTGTTCTCTTTGCCCCATCATAGGTAGTAGTCATATGGGCAGTCCAGGGAACTCGCAGAACTCAAGTCCTGCAAATACCCCAAATCCCCATGGCCAGAGGTAGGAATATCTCATGAACAGATTGTCCAGTAGTGCTAGAAACTAAATCCAGTTAACGTGACGATCAGTAGCTGTTCAGCAGCTGCTGGCTCTTCTTTGTGTCCTTTTAGCTTTGAAGGTGAAGCTCTTGTTTCGATTGTTCTCAACTACATGTTATGTGGCTCTACATTCGTTTTTCTGTTTTCTGAGTTTTAAAGGATGAAATGTATTGGGTAAAATGTCTGTCAAGTGTAAATGAATCATAACATTTGGTCATTTCTCTCAGCTTTTTCTTGATAAGTCTAAGACATTTTACAAAACCTTTTAGAGGCAACTCGAAGAAAGAAGTGATTTGTGTAAAAATATCTATAGTATTTGTACAGCTATTTTGTTTCCTTTTGAATGCAGTCTTCTGGTGACCTAATTTGCCAGTAGTTCATTTGTTGCCAGTGCACTTAGTGTATTTGTATTTGGGACTAGAGTGTCTGTGTACATTGAATGTGGTCCCACAGAGGCTTCCTATTTAGTGAATATTACTTAGACATGCCAGAGTTTCATGCTTGGCAGTGCCCCGTGTACTATAATTAGAAGTGTGGCATGAAATGGGATTGAACTGGTCATCATTACTCATATAAAAGACTCAGTGTGCAGTCTATCACATGTTTCATACGAAATTTCCAGGTGCTGCGTATTCTAAAAAGAAGTATTAACTCTAGTGTAAAACTAGGCAGTATCAGGCCATGAAATGCATACTGTACATGTTTTGTTAAGCATGCTCTGGTGTTAAATTATGTACAGAAAAAAAGAATTATGTATGCATAAGACCTGCACCGTAAAGCGGCACTAAAGGCTAAGGAGTACCGCTACATGTTGTCAGAAAAACTGTGTGCTCAGAGCCTGACCGTCCGAACCTCTCAAAAACAAAAAACACATCCGGTCACATGGTTAACAAACAACAATATGCCATAACATAACATGTCTAGAGCACATTGTATAAAACAAACTTATTATTCCAAAACATAAAGCTATGTTGGCTATGTTTTCTTAATAACTAAACATTTTTCAGATTGGTTTTTACAATTTTTTTTGTCTGCATGTATCCATCTAGTACAAATTAGAAATATGATTTGTTTTGTTATTGACATTTAAACAATTATGTAAATTTGCTACTCCCTAAAAGGACTAAAACATAACAGAACAACATTTCTTGAGAGAGAACTAACACGATGAATGAGAGAGAAACTTAACTATAACTTAAATGTATGTATTTCATTTCAGTTACTGACTAAAACAGATAAAACACTCAATAGGAGAGAGACGGCAGGCCTGCAACTATAACACCAGGGTCCTATGTCACAAAATAAGATTATAGGTTAGCTGGTTAACCCAGGTTTTATGGTGTTTCTAATCTGGTTCACTTTTGCCAGGGTAGGTCACCATGGTACCTTTATGTCATGGTAGGTGTCTATTAGGTATGTATGTAGGTAGGTAGGACTTTATTGATCCCACAATGGGGAAATTCCTGTGTTCCAGCAGCAACAAAACACCATAAGAACAAACACCACACACATATCTTGAGAAACAGATTGCAAAGTACCTAAAACCAAACAGAATATAGTATTTGAGAGGCAATCAAGAACAAGAATGATCCTCCCACAATTAATCCCTGAGAACAAATCAAAATACCTAAGAACAATAATAAATATAGTATTGAAGAGATCACGAAATCAAGGACAAGAATATTACTCCCATAATATAATTACCTGTATTTCAGCCATGAGGATCTCTGAAAAACTACTCAAAAATACCTAAAACAAGACAATATAAAGTATTTGAGAGAAATCAAGGACAAGATTTTCCATATGTGCATTTACAATGCATTTTACCCCAGGATTTGAGTATTGCACCTCAGTTGACTATTACATAGTCCCTCATACTTTCACCTAGTTTATCACTGCAATGATGTATTGTACAGTCTGATTGCTGTGGGGAGGAACGACCTACGGTAACACTCCATCTTACACTGGGGATGTAACAGTCTAGGCGCTAAAGGAACTGTTCAGAACCACCACTGTGTGGTGCACGGGATGGGAGGGGTCATGCATGATGGATATTAGTTTTACCAGCATCCTTCTGTCCGCCACCTCCTCGATGGAATCCAGAGGGCAGCCCAGGACAGAACCAGCTTTCTTGACCAGCTTGTTTAGTCTCTTTCTGTCCCTGTTCGTGCTACCTCCCGCCCAGCCCACAACAGTGGAAAAAAACAACAGATGCCACTACAGTATCATAAAAAGTCCGAAGGAGTGCCCCCCACACACCAAAGGACCTCAGTCTCCTCAGCAAGTGGACGCGGCTCCGGCCCTTCCTGTACAGGGCATCTGTGTTGTTGGTCCAATCCAGTTTATTGTTGAGGTGGACACCCCGGTATTTAAAGGTGTCCACAATCTCAGTATCTGAGCCCTGAAAGCTCACCTGAAAGCGTGAGTGATGGTGATTTCCGCTGGAGGTCAATCACCATCTTTTGTCTTGCTGGTGTTCAGGACCAGGTGATTTTTCTCACACCACTCCACAAAGTCAGTAACAACACCCGCAGAAACTTCC